CTACAGCTTAAATCAAAGAAATATCAAAAGTGAGATTTCTTTTGATATACAGTACAATGGTAAGTTACATTAAAGTTTATTTGGGCATGCCTTCCTCAAGAGAGTAAAAGACAACTGGAAAGCGGGGAGACGTGAGTAGCCCCAGTATAGCCCAGTGGCATGACCAATTTCAGATAGACTTAAATGATTATCTAGCTACACTACCCTTAGAGTAAAGAAGGTGTACAGTGTCCTCACATCATTTAAACAAAATATTAAACAAAATAGATTTTAAAATTATTTCATTATCTGCACTTGCCGCACTGGAAAACATTAAAATGCTGAACTGAATACCTCTACCCCATGACATATTATTTACTCTCATATTATTTTATTTTGGCCCTCAGTTTTGGAAAAGGACTGAATCAGCTTCACTTGGTTTACCACAAGTTTATAATTAACATCTCAGTCATTAGGAAAATGGTACAACACTTTGTCACTATTCTAGTCCCCTTTTAAAGTCTGACTTAAAAGAATGGGGCTTGTTCTTCTACTTTAAATGTATCTTAAATTTAAAACTAAATCTGATCTCAGGAATATATTTAGTTTCTTTTTCATATAACTCAACGGGTTTGCATTGTGTTTTAAAAGCACTGCGATGTTTTACACTGCTTAACTAGTTTTTGTCAAGATATAAAAAAGGGGCAGTTTATTTGTGAAACATGATAACGTTTGTAGCAGAGATAAAACAGTAAGCGAAAAAAAAAAAACCTCAACAATCACATGATACAGAATAAGGGCTTGGTCCTCAAAAAAATGGGAATGCTTATTAATTAGGTCTGCACGCTGTCACATATAGAGCTCAGTCAAGTAATTGACTGTTTCCACCAGCTACAACTTGGAGAATCACAGGCCATTTTACACAATAAATGCAATGTACACTTGCACACAGAATTAACATGCAGATACCACAGGTCACTGCATACAGTACCAATTTCTGAAGTCCTATAAAAATGCCAGGGTAACACAAAGAAAGCACAGTTTGCCCAGAGAAGTAATATTTTTTTTTAATTTTTTTTTTATTAGCCCAACTGATATGTCTGGAAAAAAAACCCCAAGCTTCTGGACACATCATTTTGCAGAAATTTTTATACCTCTCCTGGCTGTAAAGAAAAAGCTTGAAAAGGCAACTCAAGCACAAATGATGTTGTGGTATCAGCTGAATTTTTACAGACAGACTTGAAAAAGCAGCTTTTAGAAACACAGCCTCTCTCATGTCTAGCATGGAGCATTAATTCCAAAACCCACGACTCTCAAAAACCACACAGGTAAAAGCAAAAAAAATTGCGTGCATGTGAGAGGAAGAGAAAACTCTAGCAGGCCTGTCTAAGTCACCTTCCCCTGCCGCCTCAGCAGGGACGTTAGGCTAAGTACTGTTAGCTTTCATCCCTACTGCCACAGCTGTCGAGGGTCATGCAAGTCATTCTGCTACACTGCTGTGGTTGGACCTGGTGAGTCATCTTGTTCGCATGTCCCTGTAGCACTTACATTTCTATCCTGTAGATTTACTCATTTTTTTTGTTTGGTGCCTCCTTGACACTGATAATCACAGCATTAACACATTTATGCAGTAATTCTCATTTCAGAATAATTCCTCTTAGTCCCAACCAGGATTTAGGGTGTTTCCATTTGATTTGCCATCTGAAAAGAATGTTAGTGTCAAGTCAGCAGATTACAGGCTTATAAACCATGAGTCTTAGAGGCTGCCAGTGGCTCACCATGCTATTTTGAAGAAAAAAAAAAAAAAAAAAAAAATCACTTAGTCCCTTAATGCCCAGCTTATCCACATAATAAGGAAAATACTGGCTGACAGCAAAGGAATGATGTGAGGTTAAACTTTTTTTTGCAATTAAGTATTGAAATCCTCTGATTAAAGAGTTATGAAGGGATAAAACAGCTGTAGCATTTGAGGGAAAAGATGTGTGGGAATATTCAGAATAGAGCTTTCTTTTTGTCTCCCGCTCCTAGCTCTAACACAACAGAAGCATTATTGCTCTGGAACTTCAATTTAAATATAAAAGCCATTTAAATTTCAAAATGTGGTGGAAACTATACAGTTTTTAAATGGGTGGACAGCATTACATGGCATTTAAAGATAGATAGTGAGATGACAATAGGCAGGCAAAAACTGAATTTACGATGATCTTTGCAGAAGAAGAAACCTTCACTGATAAGCATCACACCAGTTCCATGATTTGGAAACAGGAAGGGAAGGTGTGGTGTCAGAGGGAGAAAGGACGAGAGAAAACCTGGTAAGAACCAAAGAGAAAACCTCCACACAATGACACCCAACATTTACCAAGTGCCCCTTTTATTTCTTTCCATATGCAGGCTTGATTACAGTACAGAACTACTTCTGGGATCCAGACCTACTTGTCAAACACCACCTCCAATAAGAGAGACAAGTGGGTTTCATTCCAACTGCAGTCATGTTTGTTTGAATTTTACTTCCGCGTTTTACTGCCAACAAACTTACTTAAAAATAACCACATTAGTACTGTTTGGCATAGCATGCCATGTAGTACTTACTACTTTGCTGGAACAAAATTAAACAAAGAAGCTAAGTCTGAGGCACAAATACTCTGTGTTCCAGAATTTATAGTGACCTTAATACCGAATTAACTGAGCTGTTAGCTGTTACAGCATTTAATGCGACTAGTTGAAAAGGTATGCAATACTTAACTGAGGTGTAACTGCACTTAAAAAAGCAGGGACAGGCTGAAAGACTGGACAAGAGCAAGCTGATGAGCACTTTCAGGTATTTCAAACAAGTAGCGTCCTTGGTAAACTAATGGAAAATTAGTTTAAACTAAAAGGACAGACTGAAGGAGAAACAGAAACTAACCTCATTACTGGAATCTAAATCAACTTCATCAACTCTAGAATCGAAAGCAGGCGCATTGTAGACAGTTATGTGATGATATATCAAAAGGCATATAAAATGTTTAGTATTCATAAAAATAGAATAAAGTGTCATGCAGAAATTATTGTAACATCAATACCATAAATCAGTAATTTACTCCCATACAAAGTGTTGTATTCCCTGCCTAAGAAATATATTACAGACACTAAAATAGAAGGAAAAAAAATTATTATAGGAAATGTAGGAAAAACCATTACATGGAGTTTGAAAATAACAGTATTATTTACAAAGAAAATATTACAAAGATATTCAATATAATGAGCAGTACTTTGAAGACATAATGGAAAGTCTTTTTTCCTTTCTGTATGAAACACAAGAATAGAGAAATATTCAACAACACTGAAGAGTAACAGCAAATTTGAAACTGAACAAGGACACTATCACTGAAAACCTAAAACTCATCCAGAGTTAAAGACTAACTGGATATTCATATAGGGAAAAACAAAAGAAAAAAACCCAACAGAATTGATAACAGAAAAGCACTGGAAGGAAAGAGGACTTGAAAACACAAGCAGAACTTGGGAGAAAATGTCCACGTGAGAAAGCGTTATCTAACCTAGCTGCTGAAGGGTGTCTTTCACTCTTTTCTGAGGCAGACTAGTGGGTTCAATGATAATGCATAATCTCTGCCGCACCCCTAAACTTGTTGGTCAAACAACTGAACTAAGATAATTTTTTTTCAGCCTAGTTTCCTGAGAAAACTGAAGTGATCATTGTCACATAAGCAGATAGAGAATAAGCAGGTTAGTTGTTGTTTTCAGGTAGGCTACCTAAAGAAAAATAAAGAAAAGTGAGCAATCGCTGAAAGAAAATAGGCAGCACATGAAGATGTTTGTATTCTGACTTAAATTAAACTAGTTTTTCCAAAGAAAAAAACCACATCTATCTCCTACCCCACCTTCCAGTCTTTAAAATTTCCCACGTACCTGCCCTCCTAATACCTGGTTTCTCTGTTCACCTTTCAGTAGCTTTCAACTTTTCCAGCCCCTCTTCCCCTCCTGCTGTTAAGGCAGCTTTCTTGCCATATACAAGCACTATCCAGGTAGGCTTATTACAAGCCTGATAGCCCATTTATCCAGCCTAGAGACAGCTTCCTGTTACCCTTCTCATCCTCCATTGTCTTTACATCGTTCCCAGTAAGATCTGAAAAAAGAAGTAAACATCCCAAAGAGCAAGCCATGGTTAATTAATGAACTAAGTGTTGCACACTTCACAAAGACACTGGTTTCCCCATGTTTTCACCGTATGC